ATATTAAATTATTAATGATGAATTACTTTAAGTTTCGAAAACTTTTCATATAAATTATAAAAAGGCTAATTCCTGGGTAAGTTGGTAGGTAATGGCATAAGTAGGACGGAAGGCCAGCAAGCTTGAGGAGGCAGGGTTAGTCGGGTCGACTTGTAACTCAGTCAATAAGGGCTGGTGCATTTTGCCAGTTGCCTTGACGGTTGGTGAGTGACAGGCATACTCGCTGAAATAGAGGGGCACTTGAGTAGAGGCTCGAGTCGAATGCGATCGTTTGGCTAGAAATAAGTTCCCTCAGGGTCTTTTTATTTGAGTTACCAACGTTGCAGTCGTGTATAATTTCACGTCCCCAGCCCTTCCCCGTATATGTCCATCCTCTACTCCTGCGTCCTTGTCCCATCCACCATCTTAATACCGACACCCTCGCACAGACTATGCCCTCCACTGGTCTGCTATGCAAATAGTATTGTATGCACGGCCACTGTGAAAGAGCGGTCTTTGGAGGCTCTAGCCTTCATCAGGTCTGGCTGATACTCCGCCCGGGGGATCTATTTTCCCCGACCTTATTTGCCCTCTTCTGTCCGGCTGGCCACCCGCACCTGCACTCCAATATTTGCACGCGTTTTCTCTTCACTCTCTTCTTGACCTGAAAACGGTCTTTCTTTTGCGTGCGCCCATGCCTTGAAGAGCAACCAGTCCTCAAAATGGACTACCAGCCCCATCCTTAAGTATTGGGCAAGAAGACCGCACCGACCAGACTCGAGATTAGATCGCAAAGCTGGGTCGGTTGGTCCACTGGCCATACCAGTAGACGGCATCATAAAGTAGACTCAAACTTACCAAATGCTAATATACATTATTACGCATGCTATTCTTGAGGCCCAACATTGTTTTGCCCCATTCTACCACTCGATTGTATACAGACCAGTTACAGGCATAGACAGCGCCCCTCCCCATACACACAACCACACACGCTCGCAAATGCCCACATTTTTACACATCGATGGGTACTAGCTCGCGGCCTCGACGCAGCGAACTAACATTTGTATGCTCTGCCAAGAAAGGTCTGAACTGATGTACACAGTGCCCCGGAGGCAGGTGAGAGCAAGACACACTCTAATGACAGTGCTTTGAGTGTGCAGTTGTCAGGCCTCTGGGCCATAAGACTGCGCATTCATAGTACTTTGGCAATTTAAGGCCTGGGTCACGATTTATTTGACGAAGCAAGGCCAAAGTGATGATGGTCCTGATGGCCTAGGCTGAATGCAGTGTGATTCCCGCGTTTAGCCCCTCAAGCCCGTCAAGTGGATAGATTCGAATTACTGCCAGACTTGCCTGAGCTAGGACAGGGCAAGAATAATATATCCATTCATCTTTCAGGGTGGATGCAAACACATCAATCAGTAACCCAATTGTACATGTCACATTCACGCGTGTGCGGACAAGATAGAATTGGATACATGGTTACTTGTGTTGAAAATTGGATGAAAGGAGACGACATAAAATACCAGAAAAGTGATTGATACAGATGTCGGCAGCCTGGCTACTAGGCTAATTGGGAAATGTGGTCTCAAGACCAATACCACAGTGTATACAGTTCTCCTGAAGAATACCTACAACGAGTTTGGGAAGGCCTGATTTTCTATGCTGACCTGAAAGCGACATAGACCCTTTGGCTCGGTTATCTCAGGGCCTCGTGGAGCAGTGTAAAAGCATGCGCGAGCACGAAAATGGCTGCCATGGTTTAATACATCTGGATGTAGAGAATTTGGTAAACATTATATTTTTCAATACAGTTGTCCTTGTTTACTCGTAAGTAGCATAATAGAAGCATCCCGAAGTATCTGGTGATTAAGGATATGATTTCGAAAGAGGTTGGGGCGAATTAACCGGCTTTTTCTTATGTGACCGTCGGCTCTTTTTGTTGAAACCATAAGATGAAGTGAAATGATAGCCTCAATTGCCTGGACACTTCTGGAAAGCCTAGCCCAATTCTCCTTAGCACCCCGATCGGGAGGTGGAATAAGGATGTGAGTGTCACGAAATATAACTTTACCGCCCTCTCAAATGGTCTGCTTGCTTCTTGCAGGAACAGAGGACTAACCCTTGACCTCGCCGATGGGACACATCTTGCGCCCCAGCTGTTATAAACACTGAACATAAAATCAGAAACTTTGCCCATAGGCATAGCCAGGCTGTTGCCTATGCCCGATCTCATCTCTTTCCCTGGCAGACCTAAAGACACTTTTATCCCATTTAAGAGGCAGACAAACCGATATGACCCCTCAGGGATTCGATAGTAAGACCACGTTTCTCTCAGACACCCATCTGGCGAACACAACTTTCATAAGCAATGCTAATTGTACAATATTCATTTGGCTCGTAGATGTTGTGGTCTGGAGTTATGGTGGTCTAGACCACACCCAGTCATGTATCTGGTCCTACTCACGGACAACCGTATAGGCTGATTTACCAGAAAGTTGACCTTATAAAAGCAAAAATATAAAACACTTTTGATGAATATTTGGGTGCTGCACTACTTCTGAATAAGAAATCTGCTAGTACGAATCAAGTTCCTTGTTATTCGATTGAATATCTGATCAGCAAATAGGTTTAGATGACATCCAAAGCTTTTGCAATGCATTGAGGCCATTCCCAAATGGTTGATAATATATGCCAGATATAATAATCGGCTTAATTAGGACAGCATTACAAAGCCCCTTTTGATTATGGTTGAGTGGAATGAAACTATAAAGCATGCGTTTGGTTGACCTCGTTTTCGCAATTTGATCGGAGCAAGGGTAAGAATTTATGGAACGTACCTAATTCTACGTCCTATACCATAGTATTCATGATTTCAATCATCGGATCATTGGCTTGATGCATTCCCAGACGTTTTGTCGTCATCGTCAGTGAGAGCCCTCAGATACCAAATCAATGGTCTGATATGGGGATCATGGATACTATGGCAACTGACGCAGAACTAGGTACTTTCAACAAGCTCTTCATGCTGTCACGACCAAGTTGCGAAAATAAGTTCAAGCCAGCATCAAACAGCTAAAGGAGACTGCGATAAGACAAACGGTCCCACCATCTTGGACTTCATATCTATAAAACATGAGGCTCTACGTTCTATCAATTATAGACAAGGAAACAGGACTAAACTGTATATGGTCACAAAGCATTATTGTTCACCTCTTTAGCAAAATTATACGGCATACAATTTTTTACGAATTATTCATAGTAAGAAGAGAGCTTCCTATTTGCTAGAGTAGCCACTACTTTTGCAGCACTTTTAATTGTTATTAAGTTAGTTTTTGTTTAGTGTTTTTGGTGATTGTTCGGGAATAATGGTTTATGGCTCTGACGATGCCCGTCACATGATGGAAGAATGCTCAGCACAGAATCATCGGGAACGTAGGACTATAGTCTGAGGACTTCTTCGCACAGTTCAGCAGACTAAAGTCCAAAGCAACCTACCTTCGGCATCTGGTGATGTTAATCTATGAATCCCTTCCCCTCGCCTTCGCAAGCGAAATTAAAGGTAAGCCAGTATCAATCTACTAAGGGATTCTTCAAAACCCAGCTTCTCTTCCTATGGCATGAATAAGTCCAATGATCCTTGATAAAATATACTCTGATTCGATTAAGCAATTGCGTTATAGGAGGCTTAATCTCTAGTTGGATAAGCATCCAAAGATGATCAATATACTGCATAATTACCTGTTGGATTTCTAGAAGAGATCTCAGCAAAAATTCACATATTTTCATACATGAGAGGAGAATGAATCTTTTAACTCCTTGATGATGTCGATAAATATAAAGGAGGCAAGGAAAAAGACTATCAACAAAGGTAAATTAGCAAGTAAAATAAGTAAAATTCACTCATAGAAATGTGCTTCATTCAAATTTTAGGGCCGAACAAGTATTTCTCGAATGGACTGCCGCCTTATAAAAATATGACTTTGTGGGACTAAGAAAGTAGCCTTTACAAATTTGAGTATAAAGGATTTGTCTCATCACCCACAACATTACTGAAGTCTTTGCGTAGAGTGGCAGTAAATCACAGTTTCCTATTTGTGCGCCAGGAAAGGTTGATTTTATCCCACTCAAAGAATCGGATAATTGAAACCTGACCCGTATCCCATGGCCCCAGGGATAAAATTAATGTG